TAATACTTTTCAAATGTTGGAAGTTTTGCGCGGTTTTGAGCAAGAGCTACAACAGTGATGCCTTTCCGAACTTTCAATTTTGGCAAAGATGCCAGGTTTGCTTTTTCGAATTGGTTGCATCATGCGCAGTTTGCATTACCGAAAACACCCAAGGCAACACTTAGTATTTGTTACGAGTAGTATGTAACCTGATTGTTAATGCGTGAATAAATAGCTTTTAACAAAAATTAAATATTGAATAGAAGTTATTTTTGCACTATTTAATACAAAACCAATGTGTAAAAACAAATTGAAGTGTTACTACTTGTAATTATAAAACTTAAAAATAAAAGTGTAAAATGTGTATACATATAAATCGGAGATACGCGCAAATATCTCAATAACTAAAAGTTAGCGGCAATTAATTACACATTAGAGAAAAATTTTAGAATACAAGTGGATATAAAAGTGAGAAATATAAGTGTATAATTCATTTAAAATCGAAAACATACGTACTTTAAATAGTTTAAAATTTCAACTTTAAACGTAAATATCTCGAAAACTATAAGTTTCACGCGGCTATATCTATATATATTGTCGATCTGGAGGACCTACTCTTTCATATCATACCGCCTATATCAATTTTATCCCCGAAATCCTGGGACGGTATTCTTAAGCCGATCCCACTTTAGGGTGGGTCAAAAAAAAATGTGTACTCTTAATTGTAACGGGAAGGTCTGCCGCCTACTAGTTGTCTAGTGTTTTTATTATTTATTTATTTATTTATTGACTACGCCAATCGGCAATATACATAATAAAAAATAGTTAGTTGAGGGTACTTGCAAAAATACAAATATATATATATATACACAAGTAGGGCGCTGTGGTAGCAGTTTGGGGGAGTTGCATAGATCAAAATCCTAGATTACAGGAGTAAATGTTTCTTGGTGTTTTCGATGAAAGCCGTGTATGTACCTCCGTAGAAGTCAATCTCACCCTGAAGTGAATTGATAGAGGAGGCAGGACCAAAGATTGGAAAAGTCTAGTCAGGGTGTAGGGGCTGCTGAAATCTATACCGTTTCTTTGGATGAACCCGAGGGTTTTGAATGCCTTGGAAGCGATTTTATCAATATGTTTAGAGAAGGTGAGCTTATTATCAACTATGATGCCCAGGTCTTTTACGTCTTCAACCTCTATAATCTCCAGGCCGTTGGTCTTGTAGTTTGCGTGAATTGGTGAATGTGAGTGGGTGAAAGATATAGCAGCGCATTTGTTGACGTTGAGGTCAAGTTTATTCCCACGGCATTAATTACCAAGAGTATCAATATCTTGCTGTAGCGTTAAGATGTCAGTCATACAGGCAATGGGTCTGAAGATTTTGAGATCATCTGCATACAGCAGATGGTTTGAGACAATATTATTACCAATGTCGTTGATGAAAATATTGAAGAGTACCGGACCTAAATGAGACCCTTGTGGTACTCCAGATATCACTTCATATTTATGAGATAAATAGCCATCGATTCTGACCTGAAGACGTCTTTCTGTAAGGTATAAATGTATCCAGGACAATGCACTACCTCCTAGGCCGTAGCTACTCAAATTGTGCATAAGTATTTCGTGGCCAACACGATCAAATGCCTTGTTAAAATCTGTGTAGATGCTTTGAATACAGTTCCCGGAGTCCATAGTATTAAGCAATTTGTTAATATATAGAAACAAATTTGTTGTAGTAGACCTGCCTCCAGTGAACCCATGTTGTTTGGTGGTTATGATGTGTTCAAAAGACTATAATAGCTGGGGTAGCACCAATTTCTCAAATAACTTGGCAAGAGCGAACTGAATAGAGATGGGACGATAATTGGTGACCATCGCTTTTGATCCGTCCTTGTGTATTGGGGTTATGTATGATAATTTTCAGTATGATGGAAAGACACCACGGCTAAGGGATTCACTGAATATATGTGACAAGAGTTCACATAGACCAATCGCACAGTTCTTTAGGAATATATTGGGTAGACCATCTGGTCCAGCATCCTTCTTAGGGTCGAGTGCAAGAAACTGTTTAAGGACTTCGTCGAAAGATACTATCAGGTCGTTCATATGAGTGCATTGCGATCCCGGATTGAAATTTGCTGCATCTGGAATGATGCATTTGTTTGGTACATAAATGATGTGGAAACAAGTAAGAAAGGGCTAAGTTCGGATGTAGCCGAACATTTTATACTCTCGCAAAGTCAAATGGTATACTCGTTTGAGATTTCTTTGTGGATTGACTGATATTTTCGGTAGAAGGTCAACTATAGGCACTGGGGTCCACATATTTAGTACTTAGGGGCTTGAACAGTTTTGGTTCGATTTAGACAATTTTTGGTCACACGGTGGCATACTTTAAACGTATTATTCACGCAAAGTTTTACCCCGATATAATCATTGTTGCTTGATATGCATAGTGGAAAGTGAAAGAATCAGATGGAATTGAAAATGATGTTCTATGGGAAATAGGCGTGGTTGTAGTCCACGCCCACTGTCTAATTTTGAACACGGTTCCTATAAAGTCATCTCATACCATCCCAGAGATAAAATTTAATGTCTCTGGCGTATTTAGTGCTTGATTTATCGCGCTTTTAGTAGTTTTTAACAGTTCCGTTATATGGGGAGTGGGCGGAGTTGCCACCCGATTTCAACTATTTTCACACCGTCAATAGAAGTGCTAAAAACATTTGCTTCTAGTGAATTTTGTTATTATAACATAAGCGGCTTAGGAGATATGCACATTAAACCTATTAGAGGCGGGACCACGCCTACTTTAAAAAAAAATTCTAACTGCAGATGCCCCTCCATAATGTGATCCTGTGTACCAAATAACAGTCTTGTATCTTACTGCGGAGCTTAGTTATGGCAATTTATTTGTTTTTGATTAATGGCGTTTTGTGGGCGTGGCAATGGTCCGATTACGCCCATCTGCAATACCAACCGTCTCACGGTACCAAGAAACATGTCTGCCAAGTTTCATAAAGATGTCTCAATTTTTACTCAAGTTACAGCTTGCACGGACGGACAGACGGATGGACGGACAGACGGACGGACGGACAAGCAGTCACCCGGATTTCAACTTGTCTCTTCATCCTGATCATTTATATATACATAACCCTATATCTAACTCGATTAGTTTTAGGTGATACAAACAACCGTTAGGTGAACAAAACTATTATACTCTGTAGTAACAGGTTGCGAGAGTATAAAAAGAAGCAAAAAGGTTGCAGATATCAGGCCCAGAGTCAGCCGACTGATCGTCCCATACCATGGATGGAAGTATGTACCCGCTGCAGCGGTTTTTGGCTTTAACAAAATTCCAGAATACTTTAATATCCTATTTAATTTTACTTTCAACATTGTCTACGTAGCTCTTGTAGCACTCGGATATCAGCCTTTTACAATCAAGTCTCAGTTTGCTGAACGGATAATAATTTTACTTAGTTTTTCTTATCTTGTACAACACGTGCGCTGACTTCTTCAATTTAATTTTGTGAATGAGATCTTTTGCGAATCAGGATGGGTAGTTACTATGTAGCTTACTATCAATTGTTTCAAGTTTGTAGAGATCAATCCAATTTATTCTCAGGTAGAAGGTGTTAAACTCAGCGTAGTTAGCCTTTTTGAACAAGTAGGAAGAAGAGTTGTTTGAGGACCAGTCCAGGCTGAAAGTTGTCCAGGGCAGGATGATATTTATCTTCTGAGACCAAAGCTAGTGAGTGTTCTGGAGATGAGTCAAGTAAAATAGCTTTTCACATTTCACACGAGGTGAGCTGTTTGGGAGGTTAAAATCGCCGATTATCAGAGTTAGATGCCTGGTATTTATCCATAATGAATAAAATGGTGGCCAGGTGGTTATCAAAGATGTTGTAAGGTGATTGAGGAGGTATGTAGACACAGCCGATGATTATGTCACGTGAGGCGTACTTGACACGGATAAAAATTTGCTCTAAGTCATTGTTTGCAATTGAGATTGGTTTAGTATGGAGATGACGTTTACATGCAATGAAAACAGCACCACCACGGACTTGTTCACTTACTTCAACTATACGGTCTTTACGGTAAATATTATAATTTGAATCAATGACTTCACCATCACGTATAGATGAGTGAAACCAGGACTCGTGATGCAAACAATGTCGAACTGGCTAGCTCCCGTTGAGGTCTGAAAGGCGCAGAGTTTTGTGCGCAGACCTCGTACGTTCTGATAGTACAGCTGGACGTAGGATACCTTTTTCTTGCTCGTTGAACGAGCGAATATTCTTTTTCACGATCTTGGGCACACCATGAATATACTTAATTGTCGTGCTGTCGTCACCACCTTTCACCATAGAGTCTAGATCCATTCGCAGGTTTTTTAGGTGCTGTTGTTGGGAAGGGGTGAGATCAGCCTTAAAGATGACATTTGTGTTTCCATCAAGAGGTCTCAGACATTTCCGTGAATATGTCTTCTTTGCTCATGTGTTGAGCTTGTTCTCGACTGATGTAAGGCTGTCATTTAGGGCAGTACATTCATTAGTAAGTGTTGTATTTTGTTCAGACAGCTTGCTTACCTCATCCTTTAAATTTTTTACGCCACTTATGAGGGAATTTTTTAGATCCTTAAACTTACGGTCGTAATCATCAGTAAAGCGATCAAAATACTTTTGGAAAAACGAAATGTTTTGCAGTAGTTGGGCGAGATAGGAATTTTTCTATTTGATAATTAGAAAAAATACAAAACCGTTAGGCGGAAGACCTTCCCGTTACAATTAAGTGATCATACTTGGAGAGCCTTTCTTAAAAGTGTCTATCAACCAAATTTTCAGAGTACGAAGCGAAAAATAACCGATTTTTTCAGCCACACTGATATACATACATATACCGCTACAACATATGTATATTTATATTTTTTTCTTAATCTGGAGAACTATCTCTACCCGTACATACCCATGTAACACAGGATTTGGTAATGCTATTCTAAAATGACGTTTTTTTATTTTTAGGATTAATTGGCTCTCAAAGGAAGGATCTCCCCGTTGTCAAATTGAGAAATGTGTTTTGCAAAATACAACAACTCTTAACCGATTGGATTACAAGGATTTTGCAATTAGATTTTAAGATATATATCAATATATATGTACCACCCGTTAAATGCTAAACAAAAAATAAATAAATTCAAAAACAAATTGTGCTAGTTTGTGAATCATTATATTTTCACCCAAATTACTACTCAGCTTATTTGTAATATTGAGGTTATCTAACAGCCTTGGAAACGGCCATTTGCCTTCATACGTTCAAAAGACTTTTGTGCATCGTAGTTTCTAAAAACAAAGAGTATTATAAAAGGATCTACGAGAAATATTTACAATGAAATTAAAAGCATTTTACTTGTAAAACTCAGCATAGGCCTCCTTTTTAGGACTGTTGATCAGAAAACTCCAGGCGACTGTTACCACTGCAGTTAAGGCAATGGCAACAGTCAAATTCTTCTTAATGGTAGCATTATGTAGGCCACGTAAAACTGGCTTAGTTGCACTTACAGTAGCAGGAGCATTGGCCATGGTGATTTCTGAAGGAAAAATGTTACATAACGTTAATCAAACAAATATCGCTTTAAAGCAGTAATTCAATTGGTTATTTTTATAATGTTCCCCAATTTCAAATTTCTTGACACCTGGAATACAAACTATTAACTTGATTGTAATCTCGTACGTTTATAGAGTAATACCACCTTCAGAAATGGATAATATATAATAATAAATCGCCAACTAGAGATGGTAAAATCGATTCACTTTCTAGAGCTGCAAAACAATCGATGGGATTGTCGATAGTTTTATTTTCGCTTTACAGCCAGTTCATACACAGACACTTTTGTAAACCAAACCATTTATAGGGGCAGAGGGGACGACGTGGTAAGACGAAGGGACTCGTGCTCAGGTGGCACGCTTTGTGTTCTTGTTCGTAACAGCTCGCTCCTACCCTTTTGAGCATTCCTTTTACGTTTCAAATTCTTTTAATAATTGCAAGAGTGCTCGGTTTCAAATAAATTTAATCAATCGTTCAAAAGTTGAATTTAGCTATCTAATTTTATATGTATTATGCAAGTTTGTATGCGCAGAATAATGTAAATATTTTGAAAAATTTTAAATCAGGAGAAAATTAAGATACTCAAAAATATTCAATTTAAATTTTTAATAACATATAAACGGTATTAAATGTAATAATATATGAATATACATAGAAGAATTCTTATAAAAATTGTAACTTTACTTTTTTATATGTACATATAAATAACATAAAATATTAAGATGCTTTCATATATATTTCTTTTAACCGTCAAGAGCACTAGAGAAAAGGAGTGCGGCGGCACCGGTGCGCAGATGGATTGAACCCGTACTGCGCACCAGGATAGCTGAAACCACTATAAGCGGTACCAAGATTCGTCTTGGCACAACGAGAGACTGTCCACAGGGCGGAGTGCTATCCCTTCTACTTTGGAGCCTAGTTGTGGACGATCTTCTCGAGCTGCTAACTAGCAATGGAATCCGCTGTCAGGGACATGCGGACGATATTGTTATTTTAGCCAAGGGTAAGTTCACAGACACTCTCTGCAATATTGTACACAGGAGATTGGGGATAGCAAAGAGATGGTGTAGTGGAGTTGGTTTAAACATCAACCCCTCAAAGACTACAATCATACCGTTTACCAGGCGCAGGTTACTGCCAGGCCTCAGAAACCTATCCCTAAACGGCATGGGGCTGGAGATGGCTAACACGGTCAGGTACCTGGGCCTCACGCTGGTTTCCATTCTAAGGGGGAAGCAGCATGTGGACCTGACCTTAGCTAAAACTACGAAAGCGCTCATGGTGTGCAATCGGTTTGCTGGGATGGTTGTACACCATGATTGTGAGATCGATCATCGCATATGGAGCGGTGGCTTGGGTTTCCAAAGCATCGCAGACTTCGGTAGGACTTCGACTATCGAAGCTCCAACGATTTGCCGTACGTGTCCGACTGCAGCACTGGAAGTAATGCTGGAGCTCACACCGTTACATATAGTGATCAAACAGATGGCCAAACAGACCCTGATTCAAATGGCAGTGGAAGGGTTTTGCAAAGGGAAGGTAATCTCGTCCCAGCAGATGAAGGCCCTAAGTGAGGAAATGCCACTGGCTCTTCTTCCAAGGGACAGCATTACCAAAACAGTAAGCTTCACTAGGAAGTTCAAAGTTACCCTTGGCAGTAAGGCATAATGGAATGATTCCACGCTGGACCTACTGCGGAGGGGATTGGTGCAGGGGTCACAGGACCACGCATCAAGCTCTATTCCCATGGGAAGTTTTCCTAGCATCTTCCAGGCGGAAGTATATGCAATAAGTCGGTGTGTAGAGATAAACCTCCAACGCAACTATCGCAATAAGAGTATCAGCATACTCAACGATAATCAGGCACTAAAAGCGATCTCGGCTTTTGAAGTCAAATCGCTACTAGTGCAGGAGTGCATAGAACGGCAGAACAGTCTATGAAGCCACAATAGAGTGCACCTCAGCTGGGTGCCTGGTCACTGGGGTATAGCAAGAAATGAACTGGCTGACGAGTTGGCCCACTCTGCAAGCTCCACAAAAATGGTAGGACCAGAACCGTACATAGCGGTTGGTCCGCATACCATTAAAGAGCTGCTCCGTAGAGAGGAAAGAGCAGACAGGGAGAGACATTGGCAACATCTCCAAGCCATGCGCCATTCCAGGTTGCTGATGGGGGGTTATGACCTCAGATGGTTTAAAACCGTAATCAATCTCCCGAGAAATAAATTCCGGCTACTTGTCGCGTTATACACCGGACATTGCAGGCTCTTATCTAATTTAATCTAATCTAACAACTCTAACCTTATCTTACCAACAGAACCATAAAATAGCTTTAATATGTAATTTATAATAACAATTGATAATTTAAAACAAATAAATTTATCCATTTACATATGTTTTGCACAAAAAATTTGACTGTGAACAATATTTAAATTTCATTGAAGTGAAAGGTTTTAGTACGGCCAGTAATCGAGTTTGTCCAGAAAACTTGATAATGAAATTGCCAATAAAAACTGCATATAGCCTATGTTTGGCAATTGTTGACTGAATAATTATCTTGACAACTATTATAGGCAATTATTGTGTGTATGTTACATGCAGAGAACGTAAAATATAGAGAAGGTCCAACTACGGACCAGCGTGTGAATTGTCAAAACCTAACATAATGCGATGAGCGTGTTTCACCACAGTCGGCGCGGAAGGAGAAATTTTAGCAGTGGCGCGTGAACAGAGCTGAGCATTGAATAAAAATTATGCTCAGCGACTTGCGTTGATTTTACAGCCGCATGTTACACTTTTGGCTTATATTTTTATACGCGTATATGCAATCATATTTATTGATATGAATATGCGAAATTTTTATGAAAACATGCAAAACTGATAACATTCTAATTAAATAATGAAATTTTCAAAATAATATTTATAGTCAATTTGGGCATTTAATAATTTTATTTAGTCTGTGCCATATTATTGAAATTCAAAGATAATATAAGGTTGTCAAATATCCTTCCGCTTTTTTGCTCTTCATTCAATGCTTTATAAAAAGTGTTATAGTGATCGGATTTAGTTAAAATATGCGCCGTTTTGTTCGATGATCTGTTTCCATCTAGGCGGCAACTTCATAATACCTTCCTCGTAGAAGCCCCCCTCCTTATTTGCGAAGAATTCGGACAGCCACTTTTCACAAGGCTCTTTTGAGTTCAACTTCACACCACCAAGGGCATTCGCCATGGACAGGAACAGGTGGTAATCACTTGGCGCTACGTCCGGGCTGTATGGTGGATGCGATAAAACCTCCCATCCGAGCTCCCGTAGCTTCTGACGAGTCATCAACGAAGTGTGTGGTCTGGCGTTGTCCTGGTGGAACACTACACCCTTCCTGTTGGCCAATTCTGGACGCTTCTGGTCGATCGCCTGCTTCAAGCGGTCCAGTTGTTCGCAGTAGATGGTAGAATTAAGCGTCTGGCCATATGGGAGCAGCTCATAGTGGATGATTCCCTTCCAATCCCACCAAACACACAGCAAAACCTTCCTGGCCGTCAATCCCGGCTTGGCCACTGTTTGGGACGATTCATCGGCCTTCGACCACGACCGTTTTCGCTTGATATTGTCGTATGTGATCCATTTTTCGTCGCCAGTCACCATCCGCTTCAAGAATGGGACGAGTTCGTTCCATTTCAGCAGCATATCGCAGGCGTTGATTCGGTCCAGAAGGTTTTTTTGCGTCAAATTATGCGGCACCCAAACATCAAACTTTTTTTTGTATCCAGCCTTCTGCAGATGGTTCAAAATGGTTTGGTGACTAACTCCCATCTCCTGGGCGATGTCACGAGATGCCATGTGCCGGTCTAACTCGATGTATTCCATGATTTGATCGGTATTTGTCGTCACAGGTCTTCCGCCGGCTGGCTTATCCATGGTGTCGTTTTCACCGGCTCTGAATCGTCGAAACCATTCCTCCGCGGTTCGAAGTGATAGAGTACCATCCCCCAAAACACCATTAATCTCACGGAACGTTTCTCTAGCGGATTTGCCTTTAACGAAGGAAAACTTTAAAATAGCGCGAATTTCGGCGTTAGTGAACTCCATGTTTACACGTCTATAACTGTTGAACGCAATATCCAAACTATTTATGCATAGCGTTGTTTTGTAGGTTATGTCCAGACCTTTCAAATTATGTATAGTGTTGCCAGATACGAGCTCTGTAGCGCTTTGTATAGCCGCGAAATTCAAAAGACAAAAAAGCGGAAGGGATATATTTGACAACCTTATAATATACATTCTTAATAAATATTTTGTATTATAATTGTTACTAATAGTGATTAAATTTATTACAATATATACATACATCTTTTATCAAATTAATCTTATATAGTCATATGTATTATATGTATGTGCATGTGCAGATGCACATTTGAATGTACGGATTCAGAAATTCAAATCATAATTTTATCACTTATCAATATAATACACTTATGTGCGCGCATTGATTTATATGTCAATATATATATGTATGTATATATAACATTGCCGAACAAATAATGCATACACAAATAAACATACATACATATGAATATCCGTACACATGTAAATATGTCACCCGCAAAAACTACAAACATTGTTCTACAAAAACAACAATGGTCACAAGTCAATATGTCAGCCAAATAGGCGAAGCCCAAATTTATAGTAAATCACACAACAACAACATTTTCATTCATGAACGCAGGCGTACTTTCAACAAGCAACCTCGCTTCATTCATAAAAACAAACACCCTCACATCTCCCCGAGCATGCGTTTGCCAACAAGCGTTTGCCTACAAGCGTCTTTTCACAACGATGGCAAAAGCTAAAAATCATTAATTGAACAAATTTCTGATGTTCCCTCTAGAAGGGAAAAGTGACAACCCCTCAAATATGAGTATTAAAGTGTTTTAGAATAAAAGTGACAACATAGTATATTTGTCGATTTACAATTCAAGAAACTTTTTAAAGAAAATATTCAATATTCCTTTGATTTATGTATACAGTAAACCCCGGGTAAGTATCGCTCCTCCAATCCCTCTTATTTGCCTGTGTCTTACTGCATCTCACGTTTTTTTTTCTTAATTTTTTAAGGAAAACGGTAATTTTTTTTAAATACATAGAAATTATTTTTTTGGTACCACTCGCTTAAGTACCACAATCGCTTATGTACTACAAAGCACAAAAAATCTGCAACTTTGGTTTTGG